TGATAGAGTTTGGATATGTTATCCCTGCCAAAACTCATGTGGAAATCTGATCCCCAATGTGGCAGTGTTGGGAGCTGTTTGAGTCATGGGGGCTGATCCCTCATAAATGGATTAATGCTCTCCCTGGAGGAGGGGGGCCTGAGTGAGATCTCGCTCTATTAGTTCCCACGAAAGCTGGTTGTTTAAAAGACCCTGGCACCTCCCTTACCCCCTTGCTTCCTCTTGCCATGTGATGTGCTTGTACCCACTGCTTGTTCCACCATGATTAGAAGCAGCTTGAGGCCTGCATCAGATGCAGCTGTCCCAGAATCTTAAGCCAAATAAACCTCTGTTCTTTATAAATTACTCATTTTCAGATATTCTATTATAGCAACACAAAACGGACTAATACGGACTTTCACATTTGTATTAGTCTGTTTCTGTTGCTTATAACAAAATACATGGAACTGGGTGATCTATAAAGAAAATGAAATTTATTGCTTACAGTTTCTGAGGCTAAGAAGTCCAAAGTTCAGGGAATACATCTGTTGAGGGTCTTCCTTGGTTGTGGCTTTACAGCAATGCAGTGATCTCACATGGCAGAAAATGATGGAGCAGAGAGAGAGTCCCATGTGCTCTCCTTTTAAAGCCTTCAGAACCATGCCCCTGATCACCATTATTAATCCATTCACTACACCATGGTCCTACAATCCAATCACCTCTTCAAGGCTCCACCTTTCAATTACCATAATAGGATATCCCACTCTCAACAGTTAAAGTGGGAATTAAGCTTTCAATAAATGAACTTTGGGGTACTCAATTCAATCAATCCACAGAAGCATTTTTAAAAATAGCATTATTTTTATAAGAAATAGGCCACCTTAAAAAAAAGTGTCTAGTTCTATGTCTTTGATCAGTGAAGATGTTTAAAAAGAAGCTCCAATTGTGTTTTCACTTTGTTTTTTTGGTGGGGCGGGGGGCACTAGCTAATAGGTGAAATATTGCATTACTGAACTCATTATTATTTTTTAATTTAGTGAAAATGATTTGGATAAGGAATCATTAGAAGGTCTCTTCTCCACATGAGGTATACATTCCCTCAGCTAGAAAACATATTCTTGGAAATGAAAGAGAGCACATTCTAGATTAGAATATTAGAGAAAAATGAAAATTCTCAAGTTGTTTTTTTCCCCATGAAATGGTAAAAAAAAAATAAACTTTTTAAAAATTATTATTATGGGTTTTTTTAACCCTTGGCTTTAATATTCTGGAATGGCAGGTTGGAAGTTGACAAAAAAATGAGTAAATAATTTGTACATTGATTACATGTTAAAATGATAATATTTACTATAGTATTAAAGTTAATTCACCTGATTCTTTTCACTTTTTAAGTGTGGCTACTAAAAAATTTAAAATTAAATATGTTGCTCATATTTGTGGCTCACTTGATATTTTTATTTCTATTGGATAGCGCTGCTATAGAAATACTGATGTTTACTGAAGCGAATGTGATCATCTCCCTCATCTATATTTTGTTTTTTAAAAATAAGGCCCAATTACAAAAGGACTACAATTC